TTTTCGATCCTTTTCAGACTTGTTCCTTCATTGTCAAGATCCAAAGCTTTATTCACTACGAGACGTGCCCACATGAAGATGCCTTCGGCGCGCTTCGTGATCAAAGCCGGTATGAAAGATGCCATTAACATAGGCGATGTAGAAAGCTGGGTATGCACATATGTTGAAATATCCCGTCCATTTTCTCGTTCAAGGCAAATTTCGAACTTGCAATCCTGATCTAAAAGAGGATAGTGACGGCAACTAAAGCAGATATGGAATCGTGAACCGCTAGATTGTGGGTGCCTGAGCAGTGACTTGAGTTCCTTGACTAGCCAGACCGCATTGTCTTTACCACTTTCATCCAAGGCGTCGATAAATAGCCAAACCGAGCGATTTTCCAATACTTTTGAAAGCGACGATTTTAAATAGCCAAGTAGCTCTTGCAGATGCCACTGCCACTTTTCATCTGGCTCGCCGACTGTATCGCAGCGTTGTTGAAAAGTGGTAACAAGGTCCGGTAGTGCGTCGGGAGCCCAACTAAGGATCTGATATAAGAGCGACCGAAAGAGCCCGAGTGGCGTTTTCTGGAGCTTAGCGCCACGACCGTGGAAAAAGAACGGAAGAACAAGAGCATTATCTCCAATGTTAGACGCTATCACGACATTGTTGGAAACGTATCGCAGCAACGTCGACTTCCCTGAGCCTGGTTTACCCTTGATCCAAAGCAGGCCTCGATCGCTAGCGACCCAGCTCCTATATGTTTCGTGTCGAAGAAGCCAGTCGCATGTCCCCTGGGCGGCAGAATCGATATCCTTGGATCGACTTTCCATGCCAAGAAAGGCCAGCGACTTTAAGCAGTCTTGTGACAGCCGCGAGGGATCTGGCAGGCTTTGGGTTTCAATTTTCCTCACCAACTGCAAATAGTTGTCATGATCGTGCTTGATCTTGAGAATTGGAAGCTGACAAGAGTCGATTAGATCCTATACGGGCCTTGCATGATAATGTTCTCTTATAATGTTCATAAACTTACCCAATTCTTAACCTCGGTGTCTGCAGCATCGATCATTTCCTTCTTTTGAGAAATCGAGAGGTCACTCAGCTCATAAACTCCACGCGCAACGCGCCCTAAAATAATTAGAAATGTCAATTCAGACCTAACTCTGAGAACGAACCTGCATTGCATTGCCGCAAGTAGTTTTCCAATGCCACCACGTAGAGCAAGGTGGCCTTGTAGACGTTTGTTAAGCAACGGTCGAACTCTTTGTCAGTTTGCAGCCCTCGGAACCATTTTTCGTACTCTGTGTATCTCGACATAATCCCGGTGATGACCTCTGAACTGGACAAGACAAATTCGCGAGCTTTTTTTGCGTTTGCAGCGACCTGCAGACTAAAAGACACAACTGACCATCCCAATGCCGCGTAGCCCGACCGATCAAACTTGACAGCAGCGTCGCCAAGTGACTTGAACTTCAAGGCTCCATTAGCGATCTTTTCAGCGACCTGAAGTTGTCATTAAGCATGCGTTTTATGAGGTTTATAGGACGAGACCGAACTTACAGGCCTCCAGGTCGCGTTCTTGTCTTTCTTTTTGAGCGCCTCCGCTCTTGAAATAATAAGACTGACATCATCAGGGTGTGAATTTCTCTCTCGGCCATTCCGTTTGGACTTGATGAGACTGTCGAGGCTTTTTCGGTCTTTTGGATCAAGACCATCTGCTGCTTCTTTCCAAAGGGACTCTGTGACTGGCTGCTGTTGGGCTTGATTATCCTGCGCTTGAAAAGGTCGAGAGGTGTGCTGTATACATCCTTCTGAAACCGAACTCGCTATCGAAGCCGAGATGGACCTCTCGGGAGAGGAAACAGAGTGTTCTGGGTCGGGGTGCGATTGCAAGTTGGTTGAGCCAGTGTCGCTGCTTGTCTCTGGTTGATTGTTTCCTGGAGGTCTTAACTGCTTGTTTCCGAACTTGAAACCCTTCAAAATCGCGTTGCGTTTCTCTTTTATTGGGATCATATTGGAGTCCTTATAGATGAGGACGAGGCGTAGATTTTGCACCTGTGTGTACGGGTATGAGCCTGGTTCATACCGCTGACACTGACGACCTCAGGAAACAAAACTCGCGAAGCGAGTGCTTTCAGCTAAATCAAATGCTTAAGATGATGGAGCTTTAACCCCTTTATCGTTCGCTTTCTTGTCCGTGACCAGCCGAGCATGAAGTGAATGAGTTTGTGAGACCGCCGGACCTTCGGAGAACAGAGAAAAAAAGACGAAATGGAGGGGGGCTGAGTGTCGCAGCCATCTCTGAGCCGGCGCTCGCAGGGTAACATGAATGCATAGCCCGCTGCCTAGTGGCCAAATGAAAACTTAAAAATAAAAATAAATAAAAAAGCGAAGTTATGACAGGCCTCTCCGCCACCCCCGTTGTTTCTACCTCATCGTCGGTGTCTATTCACAGGCCATTAGTGTGGAGCGGAGATATTGATACCAGAAACATCGAGCATAGCGACGGCTTCGGCTTGAATTACGCGGCACTTGTCACGGGGGTAGTGAGGCTCATAGCGGGCTAATTCTTGAGGTTGCTATGCTGCGCAGGAGCTCTGTTTATTGCCTGCTTTGAGAATAGGCTAAAATGAACGTGTGGTGTAAACGCCAGTACTAGATACGAGCGCCTCCGTCAAATCTTGTTGTCGCAGATACCAAGGCAAAACCTAATTGGCCAGCAGTTTTCTATGTACTGCTAAGGAAAGACATACGTATATAAAGACCTGAACTCATAGCGTAAAACTAAATAAAGATCAAAGGGGAAAATAATCATGTTTATATAAGAGAGATTAGAGCATTTAATGGCAATGGAGGGTTTTATTTTCCTTTTATGCTTTACTGTGCTCCTTGATAGCATAGGGACAACCCCTGGTCATAAAGGGGTGGGCTGCTTTTACGAGCAGAGCTCTCAATAGAGCAAATATCAATTTAACTGTAATAAGCCAGTGTGAAATAGTTTTTTACTTCATGTTCAGTTTTGACATAAAGGTATAGTCGTATCGCGCCCGAGTAAATAGGGTCTTCCAAGGGTGCTTGAAATTTTAATGAGAAACCAGAGCTGCTCCTAATTAGAACTCCAAATCTATATATTAGACGGTTAATTCAAAGTAAAGCTGAATTTCTTGGGGCGGTTCTTGAAGTCGTAATCGAGGTTACAGTGATGTGATTATAGTCGAATCCTACTTCAGCCTGAGTTGAGCTACGATGAACAATTTTTTTTTAATTGGTCCGGGAAAATCATAATTATAACGCTTCCATTGAATTAGTCTGTATTCAGATAGCTAGGCAAATGAGTGAACTGCTGTGGCTGTTTCGTTGATCCTTCCACCACCTACCTATTTTGATACATGCTGCGAAACTGCCTCTCCAATGACGCAACACTGCGCGGGCCTTTCCTCGACTCGCTTGCAGCTGCGCCGCAGCCAGCCAAATCTGAATGAAAGCCGCAGACTAACTGGATCTAATCAGCTTTAGATTATGCACTCTTGGTTCTTTCCAATGTGAGCGATAGCGCACCGGCTCAATGCCGCGAGGGCAGGCCAGAACAGCTGTGGCACAGTATTATTTAGCTTCCCCCCATGCCAGCGAAGACAAGATCATAGCGTAACTGAAGGTTCAACACCAAAGTCTTATCGACGCGTATAGCCTCAATAGTCCTCTAGTTGAAACTCTCTTCAAGAGCGAGGCAGGCCTGCACGCTGCCATTTCCAACATGGACCAAACAACACTTTCGCCATGTTGGATTCGAGACCTACTAAATATAGGCCCCGACTACGAGGGCAAAGACCTTCGTCATTAGCTTGCAGCAAGTCATACCAAACAACTACTGTTAACCTCGACCGTTTACAACCAGCGTTGCGAAGGTTGAAGGAACTACGCTGCGTAGATAGCTACAACACATCGAGTGCTATCTTCTTCACAAGCCCAGCTACGGCGCACCAAGGACTGCGAACCATGTCGATTTTAACACTAACGAAGACTACTACTACGGCCTTGTACGGGCTAGCTACATCTGGCCTCTGAACTAAGTAACCAACGGCTTGAAGGGCCTAGGTCGCTGATGTTCCAGGTGGCAGTGCTGCCCTCGACCAACGGAGAGAGTACGGCTAGGCAGGCTCGTTAGTACATGCGAGCCAAACGTCCTCCAAAATGAGTTGCCAGATGGGCATATAGGACTATGTCGTACGCGATTCTTTTCTTTGAAAATCCTAGCTTAGCAAAATCCTAGACCTATCTGCACCTTCCACGGCCCCCCACTACGATGGTTCGCGGTATAGATCAGCAGCAAACTGACGGCGGCGGTGCCTCTCATAGCCTTCGATCCGCATGGCTTCCGGCAAGGTAACAGCGCAGTTCTTAGGCCTCCCACGCGTTCGCGCGACGTTCGGCTCACGTACGAGTAGCAGAGGGTTCTGGCCAGCCATATTGACACCTGTACTCCAAAACGGATCAATATCATGCATCTTCAAAGGTGTGATTTGTGGGTGTTCTGGCGATAATTCGATGTTCTAATGAATTTGGCAGAAGCAAACCAAGCTGTATTGCATTGCCATCATAGAACTATGCCTAGGAATAGGTCGGGGGATAGGATTGCCCGGACGAGGAAGATAACTTTCAGCACGGCGATGTTGATCTAAGGATTATCTCGGCAAACTTTCAAGACCTGCTCCCATTGGGAATAAGTTGCTGGCTTCCTGCGCTAAATATGAGTGAACTAAAATGTGTAGTAACTACCTACATGCATAGATGCCATGACTAGTCGTTCGTCGTAATAAAAATAAGATGGTCAAAACCCACCAGGCAAGTCCGTCTTTTTACGATTATCTATTCACTAATAGTACATTATTGCTTCGCCTTTTATTATCATTTCTACTACACTTAGAGCATAGTAGTGACAGAGGGGTTTTCCGCATTCCCCTTCTTTTGCAATGTTAGTATTATAATATATCTTTGCAAAGCCAATTCCTCATCAATCAACCGCCCGCTTGGCTAAGTGGTATAGCGTGTCACTAGTAGCTACCCCTGAAAACTCAGGGATCCCTCATGGCATGACAAGATCAGCGGTTCGATTCCGCTAGTGGGCATTTCGTTTTTTATCATTCAAAATATCATTCAATATCAGTTGTAAGCATTGAACTTTTTTTCCCTCAGATGGGCAATGCCAAGTCTTGGGGGTAGAAGGCTTAACTGATCGCGGTGTTCACGCTGACCCTAACGGCCTACTGAGAGGAAGTCATAGCCCTTCGGACGCTAATCCAGCAACAACTCCATGAATCACTTCTACAACACCAACGCCACACATTTCAACATGAGGGCATCCACTATCTCTAACTTCCTCGCTAACTCAAAGAGCAACCCAATGACTCTGCTTGTTGACTAGAGTGAAACCACGGGTGATGCCCCGAGCCCTACCCTTGCACCAATTGCAAACCAGAAGGCTACGGCTCCGGACTAGAAGCAAAGGTTAGGCCTTGGAAGTATTGTCAAACGAATTGCAAGTAGCTCGCTAATGGCTTACAAGACCCGGTGCCCCTTTCAGTTTCAATGAAAGCTTGAGTAGACTATATTAAAAAGAAGAAGAAAAGAGCAAACGGTAGTTGACAAGAATTCATTTACTACTATGCCTGAAATAGTTTTCACCTCAATAGCTTCTTTTCTCTTGTATTATTTATACCTTAGTCCTTGTATATACACAATACATATATGAGTATGATTAATATTTATTTTAATCAAAGCAGAGGTCTTACACAGTCTGCCTCGGTTTGAAGAGATGAGCCGATGGGCTGCCATCATATACCAAGCCTAGATGAATTCTATGTTATAAGTTATAAGTAGAAGTTAAATGGCGTTCTCTTAGGACTTTAGTGAACAGCCCTCCCGATAAAATATCTACTAGATTACCTACCTACCAAGGTGGTTTATGCAAAAGTAGGAGTCCTTCGTAAGGGTATTCAGGATGTATGAAGTCTCGAGATTCCGCAAAGTGAATTAATGGATATAGCTAGTATGACTGGGGAATGATCATAAACTGGCTGTATGAAACTTGTAGCACTTTGCTTTACCTTTAATTTTGTATATAGTAGTTGCACCACGTTCGAATATTTCAAAAAGGTGAGAAGTTTTTTCGCGAAAGGTAATTTTGCCTCTCATCTCGCGTCACATCGTGCTCTTTGTAAATTGGACGATTTTATGGCAGGCCTTCCAGATCTCCAGGGTCAAGAGGTGTATCCCTCCAACACCTGCGGTAAACCACTAGAAATCGGTTTTATAGAAGAGATAGGAATGGATTAAATTCATTAGTGTGGAAAGTGAAAATCAACGGGGAGTTTTATGCGTTGAGAAATGTGAATTGTCGAGCAACCCTCCCCTTTGGCACCAACAACCTCGCCACATCCCCTATCGCTCATCCTTATAGGGACGCAGTTCAACTGGTACCGCGAAGGCGTCGAGGCTTATGGCGTTAATCTGACGCCTGAGGATGAGGAAAGCTACTTCCAGCCCTTCTAGAACGGGTGCTGCACCTATAGCCAGTTAAAAGCCCTCAGCCGCGAAGACCTCGCCATAGTGTGCCCCAGGTACCCAAACCTCGACGGGAAACATTTCGATTCGCTAAAGAGAATATATGATAGATTTTTCGCCTTAGTTAGGACTAGGACCCGGACGAAAAGTATGTCCGTCGCAAGCCACTGCGGGCTCTTGTCAAAGATCTCGTGGATATCCGCTGGGATGGCATGGCTGAGCGAATCAATCTGAGTAATAACCCGCGAACAGCACGGAAAGCGATCGGAGACCTGAAGACCCTCCACCGACTCAAGATCTGCGCTGGTGATATCAGTATGGAGAATTTCGTCTTCGGGAAGCACATTGACTTTAGCAGTGCGAGGGCGGCGCCGCACCCGCTCCTCACTAAGCGTTACGGTAATGACTTTCCGCCCCTAACTAAAGCAATTGGCTATCCCTATGAACTCGACACCCTTATCGCAGACTGGAACACTCTGCATCTGGACTAGAAGGTTTGGGCTTGCTGCAGGCCGCTGTTTGAGTATGTGAAAAGACTCAGGAAAAGGGAAAGGGCAGAGGTTATGTGATGTGCATCCGGTAGATTTTACTTACGAGGGGGCGGGGAAGAGGTTTAATAGATCGCAGGGGAGGGTGCGACATGCCTTGCCCAAACACTAAAGCTGATTATACCAGAAAGACGCAGAGGGATAATACGCTGGTCTCATAATGTATTACTTCATGTTTTGGATCACCGAGTTCGAACTCCAAGAGTTCAATTGCTGAAGTTCTGAGAGTCAGCAGTCTTCCTCAGGCAACAAACCATGCAACCGACTCATGCATGCTAGCCGCCTGGACAATAATCACTCTTTAATGTTTAATTTACGGATTAGATAGCCAGTTTAAATTCCTGTAATACTGCTAGGATAGTTGGAAACTAAATGGGCCAATAGTAGTTCCTTCATCCTCTTTAACTTCTACTAGTTAGTTGTGAAGTACAGTAGAAGCAACGACGATACCAACATGTTGAAGAGACTGTCATGTGTTTCTCATATCAAGTCATATATTACAACTTGGCAACCAATCTCAGGAGCCGCTTTTTTAATATAAACTCCCTTCCTATCCCCAACGCCAGAGCAAACACACACATTATGGAGTTGTACAAGGAAGCCTCTCCATTGCCTCCACCGAGCAAGGCACCGGTCAATACACATAATGGCCAGAGGTAGAATCAGAGCGCCTTCACAGCAGCGAAAAATGGGTTAGCAAGGAGTCTCTCATCCGCCATAACGAGCTCCCGCATGCGCCCAACCATCTCTTCCTTGCTCATCTGGCCCGCTTTAACGTCATCCTTCCATTTGACGAGGACTTCTTTCAATCTCGCGCTACCCTCCTCGACGTCCTGCTTGCTATACTGCAATCCTAGTCCGTCTTCATGCTTGGACGTGAAATCCTCAAGCTCGTCCGCTTTCCGCTTCGCCATACGTACGACCTTATCTGGGAAGCGCACAAGCTCCGCCACATGGATACCGAATGACTGGTCGCAGATACCAGGCTCAACTTTGTATAGAAGAGTGACCTCGCGTTTGGCATCAGGAGCTGGTGTGCTATTTGACTCGGAGCCCGCTATATGCGCTGTGACGTGTAGGTTCCGCACCTGGGGATACTGGTCGGCGAGCGCGGTGAGTTCGTGGAAGTGCGTGGCGAACGTAGCGAAGCAGCCGATCTCCTTCACAATGTGCTCCGATATGGCCCATGCCAGACCGAATCCGTCATATGTTGACGTGCCACGACCTAATTCATCAATAATGATCAAGGACTCGTTGGTCGCCGACTTAAGGATATTGGCTGTCTCGAGCATTTCCGCCATGAACGTAGAGACTCCCTTCAGTTGCGAGTCGCTCGCACCAACTCGGGCGAGAATCGAGTCGAAGATGGTGAGTTCGGCTTCGGAACAAGGGACGAAACAGCCTATCTGCGCCATTAGAGCGATGACACCGATCTGACGGATGTATGTCGATTTGCCTCCCATGTTGGGCCCGGTGATGATCAAAAAAGAGGATTCATCTCTCCTCATCTCAACATCGTTCGTAATGAACTGAATATCATCTTGCATCTCCATGCATGGATGACGAGCTTCCTTCAGAACGGTTGATCCTTGGCCCCGAGTATGTATCTTCGGCCTGACATAGGAGGTAGGGGCGTGAACTGAGCAGTGAGCGAAAGCGATGATGACATCAAGGTGAGCTAGGACACCGGCGAGCTGCTCCAATACCGGACAATACGAGGCCGCTACACCGACGACCTCGCTAACCAAGCTACTCTGAGTTCTGTTATAAGTCTGAGATAACTGGTCAAACTCTCGCCGGTAACTTTGTAGCGTTTTCGTGGTGAAGTAGACGCCGTTCTTCTGAGTGGAACATTCTTGATATCTTGAGTTGTTGCGAATACAGCCAGCTTCCGTCCTCGTCAATCGCATGCACCAGCCGTGAACCTTGTGGTTTTCCAAGAATATCTTCTTGTTCTCTTCTTGATTTAGGTCATCTGCGGCGTTGCGATATTCTTTTTCCATATCGGACCGCAGCTTATCGAGTTTTCTCCGAACAATCCGCAGACTGTCGTCAAATTCAGGCTTAATTATGAACTCGTGGTTATCGAGCGCTTCAAGATCAACCGTCGTCTCGACCATGTCGGCAAGCTTTCCCAAGCTGTCGCTGAGGCCCCTCAACTTGTTGGTGTAGGCCTCATCTAGCGGGTCTTTGTAGGTTTCGTCCATCACCCCTTCTAGAGTACCCAGAAATCCAGGTAACCGAATGACAACCTGATACGCTCTCACGACGTCTTCCAAATTGGCCTTATTGCGCTGAAACCGCTTAGACAGGCGGTATAGATCAGGCACCGACTTGAGGTGTTCTTCTTGCATGGTTTGCCGTAGCTCCGTGTCATTCACGAAGGCTTCGACTAACTGCTGCCGCTTTTCGATCGCTTCCTTACTCATAAGCGGCTGCTTGAGCCATTGTGATAATAATCGACTTCCAACAGGCGTTCTGCAGTGATTGAGTAATCCAAATACACTCATATTTTTGGCTCCGTCGCGCGGGCCAGGCATCAAATTTAGAGCTTTCAACGCAGCTGCATCTAGTTTCATGAATTGAGACAGGTCGTGTTGGTACAATTGGTACTGGCCAAAGTTGGAGGGATCTTGTAGGACACCGAGATATTTGATTAGTGCCGCGGCGGAACCCATAGCCAGCTTGAGGTCCGTCTGGGGGAGCATGGTAGCGGATCGTTCGTCTTTGAGTAAACGTGCTAGATCTTGTTCGATATCTTTGATGCCAAAGTCACCAGCCGGTCTCTCTGATATGGCGACTCCGCAATTATCAATGATTTGGCGAAGCTTGGCCAATTCGGGGTCCTTGTCCTTCTCCGCCTTGTCGAATTGGATTAGACATTCCTTGACACCGAGTTGGATAAGAAGGGACTCAAAATTTGAGTATAAGTCGTTGTCGAGAAACTCGCTGACGCCCAGTTCTCGAACACTAGCATCAGCAAAGCAGACTCCAACGCTCCTTGCCTCGCTCGCCTT